GTGTGTGTGTGTGTGTGTGTGTGTGTGTGTAATAAAGCAGAAAATGCTCATTCCAGAATAAAAGTCAGTACACCTTGACAGTAGCAGAAGGTTAAGTAGAAATTCTGCATGCCGTGGTAAAACTGGCATGCATTCAATCCAAATCAACGCAACTCAGGACACAGGTTTGATGATGTTTGTTCTAGAATGCTCTGGTAAATCAGGCTCTCAGAGAGGGGCTGGTACCCAATGTAAAACTAAAGGTCAAGAGCTAGAAGTAGCGGGCCACAGAGGATATTTACTTTTTAGTCAGCTAAGAAGTTTCTAGACTAGACTAGGTGAAGGGAAGACCTGAGGGTTGTAGAGCTGAAGGGACAGTTCAGATCCTTTACTTTGGCCTGTCAAGTCCCCTAGGTTTGTCATCCACAAGGAGAAAGAGAGGCCAGTGCTTCCTAGGCTTCTCCTTGGGGACACAGTCAGCTAGATATGTGTGTTGAAGAGGGAAACACACTGGGCCACTGCTGCAGTTGTCGGGAAGCAGTGGGAATTGTCTGCTTGACGTGGTAGTTTGAGTGCTGTCTCATGTGGCTTCCTACTTGATAAGGAGCCTGAATCAACTAGTCAGTGACGGATAGATGAAGAGTGACTAGAACCTTAAACTCCACATGAAGGGACCTTTAGGAATTTCTCTAATTTTGACTTTCCTAATCCCGAAAGAGGAGGATTGTGGAAGGGATGACAGTCTCGTGGTCCATGGAGCCCTACTAAGGACCATTAAAACTTCCAGTTTCTAACTTCTCTTCCTACTCTCAGTTAAACTGAGTTAGACTTGACTCTGAGTCATAGTCACCTGAAGAGCCTACTTAATGTAGGCATTCCTCCATCTTACTCCGCTTCTGATCAGGTAATTCTGAGACTGGTCCCAAGAATCTGCTTGGTCTTGGTCGGGGTCTACACTGGGAAGCCGTTCACTAAGAGTACCCACAAAGAAACAAAGCAGACGTAACTATAGATCATCACTCTCCAGGCAGCTGAGGAGCCTAGTTCTCCCTGGGGAGAGAAGAGGCCAGAAAGAGGTCCTCAGCCAGCACAGCTTTCTTCCTTCTCCCAGAACAGGGAAGGCAGGACAGCTCCTCTGGTTGATGCTCAGAAACATTAATTGTGATACTTTACTTTGCCTAAGATGTGATGAAATAATTGAAGGCATCATAGCAAGAAGTTAAACCCTAGGGAGGCTATTAACAATTTAGCATTTCCAGTTCATGTGGGAATGTCGATTCTCCTTGCTTAGGAGAACATTAAAGGGTGGTTTTAGTGGAAGAAGCGGCAGGAATCAGTTGAGTTCATAATCAGCCCTGCTTGACCCTCTTCCTGGAGAGGACATTTAAGCCCCCACCCCCTCGTCACTGTCACCATGACAATGTGCTGGTTTCTAAAATAAATTACTGGCAAAGGGCAATACTTTCTTCTTAGCTGGATTATTTGCAGAGGTAGACAGCGTGATAGTGGACTAAGGTCCACAGACTCTTGCTGCAGAGTGGGTACTGTGTTCCAGTTCAGGACACCCGGTTAGCGCCTTTGGGCCTTCTGAAAGCCTTGCCACATAGATAGTCTGGCCCGTTCCAATACAGGCTGGTAAGTCTGCCCTGTGAGTTAGTAGAATGAGAATTTCCTTTTCATTTTAAAACTAGGAGTGTGCGTGTGTATGTGTGTAATCTTTTTGGTGTGGGGGCGGTACACATGTGTCATGGCACATATATGGAGATCTGAGAACAACTTATGGGAGTCAGTTCTGGAACTGAACTCAGGTTGTCAGGCTTGGTAGCATGTGCCTTTGTTTTCTGAGCCACCTTGCTGGCCCAGAAGAACCTCCTTTATTGGTACTTAATAGCTAGCCAAGGCCACAGCAGAGAGGGGGAGACATATTCCAGGCAAGAACACAGATCTTTACTAAGAGGAAACTAACACAGTTCTTTACTTAGTTACTAATCATCCACATAGCCACCATCCCTTACTTTCAGGACCCCAGAATCTCCAACTTTAAAACGAAGATACAGATAAGGTGACCACTGAGGTTTCATACAACTCAAAAACCAAAATTCCAAGCAAACTACAAAGCTGGCTCCTGAGACACGCTGCCTGCCACATGGTCACTGCTGTTCTGGGCTCGTTTGCTGCTAACAGGTTAGCAGCCGTCAAGCTCTCCTGTTTGACTGCCAGCTCTCCATTCCTTGCTAGGGTACAGTAGGGCCTCTTTCCCAAGTGTCAGGGAATTTGAAGTTAGACCCTCCCTGTGCAGGGGTTCAAGGACCCTGTTGCTTTTGTGCTGGGGTTCACAGAAATACCTCAGTTGTGTAGTTTTCTGAGAAAAGAATTTCACGCTCTGCCACAGAAAAGCTTGCCGAGGCAGGGACAGGTGCAAGAATGACGTCTCAGATTTCTTCTTGAAAGCTTCAAGAACTAAGCTGACCCTTGATTTTCACCCCCACTCCCAGTTTAGTTCCACCAACAAAAGGTACACGTGTTTGTTTCTTGAGCCCAGTCTCTTCTCTAACAGTTGCAGGTGTGTGTGTGTGTGTGTGTGTGTGTGTGTGTGTGTGTGTGTGTGTGTGTGTGTGTTTATCTATCTTGGCTTTCATCTGAGATGAGAGTAGATGATGTCATCACAGATGGCCTAAGACAGTGGCTCTCAGCCTTCCCTTTAATACAGTTCCTCATATGTGGTGATCCCCAACCATAGAACTATTTCTGTTGCTCCTTCCTAACTGTAATTTTGCTACTGTTATGAATTGTAATGTAAATATCTGATGTGTAGGATATCTGATCCTGTGAAAGGATCATTTGACTTACAAAGGGTCTTGATACACAGGTTGAGAACCAGTGGTCTAAGGCTTGGTAATCTTCCATGACAGCCCAGTAATGCAGACTTCTACTGCCTGCCATGGTTACCCATCTGGTTCCTCACACAAGGGAACCTGGTCCCAACTGTCCTGACAGGCACTTGGCATCATGTCTATAAAGTGATCACAAAGAATTCCTTAAATTTTTTCCGCTTGAGACTCCTTTTCACCTAAGTGTTCCTATGACCTTCAGTATGTACAAATATAAAATACTTACACAGATCAAACATTTACTTAAAATAAATTATAAGGAAATTTATTTTTAAGCAATTACTTGGTATGCATATAATCTTAACAGTTATTAAAGACTAAGGCAAATAAGCATACTAATGAGATGGATGAGTGTATTTATTTTTACATAAATAAATCTTGGCTTAATATTTGATATTGCAGGATGGCGAGCATCTTCAGTATTTTTCAAAGTGCATTGATATTTTGATTTCTATAATCACTAATTTTGAAAACCCACTTCTCATAAATATGGAGTTAAAAATGGCAGAATGTCTAGCGCTAGTTCAGGTATTGTTGGAAATTCTGTCCTAATTCCAAGCCAAAATTAGTTTGATTTCCCCCGACCCTGCTCTGAAATTCAAAAGTTAGCAATTCAGACAATGTTTAATATAAAACATGCTATCACAATGCAATACAAAGGTAGACTAATTTGATATTTGCATGTTTAAAAATGGCAGTAGGGAAGTATTAGGTCTTTGCTATAACTAAACCATTATGCTTCCCTAAGAGCAGTCTACTCTATGTGCAGTAAAAAAAAAAACACTATAGCTCATAATATACAGTGATCTAGAGTCTGGGCCCAGCTGTTTCAGGCAGCCAGTCTTCTTAGTGTTGCTTAGCTTGAAAGACATGCACAGTGTCATATGCACTTATTATGTTTTGGAACCAAGGCTGTAGTGACATGCAACATGTGTGCAAGCCTGGCTAGAAGTTCATGTGATTTTTTAAATTAATTTTTAAGCTGCCAATTTTCAGTGACCTCTGCAGTTAGTTATGTGACCTCAGTGGGGGTTGTGCCCCCCCCCCAGTGTATGGATAGGTGTTCTGGAGTACACTGGCAATACTTTTAAGTGTGGTTACTGTTAAGCATGCCCTACTTACTCACCATTAAACTCAGTTTTTCTGAACTCCGGCCCTGGAACACATGAACTTCGTCTGTCTCCCTCTCCATCTCAAGGTCATCTCCAGGGGTAGTTAGCTGGGGTGTATTTGGAAAAGCCAGACATTGAGGACAGAATCCACAGTGTCCCCAGGTTGCACAAACTATGCTCCCTTTCCTACAAGTAGCCAGGTGCTAAGAGGGATTGTGTGGCACCATGATTTCCATGCAGTGGTGAGAAGCCACCATGTCACAGGGTGCATGTCAGCGCATGTACAGTGGGATGGAGAACTTGGGCCTTGGCTTCCAGATGCTGCTGTTGGGTAACTTTGGTTTTTGTTGTTGTTGCTTGTTTGTTTGTTTGCCTTGTCACTTAGCAGCATTATCCTTCACCCTGAAGGGATGTGGGGGACTTGGCCAAAGTTATTTAAACGCTAGAAGTCTAATCTTCATTCCCCATTGCTTTGTACTGGGAGAAGGCATTCTCCCCATTGACAGGATTCTATAGTGTGGCCCCCTGAGTCCTGAAATACCTGACTCTGAGGAAGCTAAGCAGTGCTATTCCCTGAAAGAAAGAACAGGTCACAAACCCACTCGTTTCCTATTAGCCTACTGTCCTCATGGGTACTTGTCTATAGTCACTGTATTCATGTAAACCAGCCTTGCAGATAAAACTCATTTTTCTGACCCACCCCTGTTACTGCCAATCTCTCCTTTCTATTTCTATATCTTTTGTGATAATCAAATAACAGCAACAAATAAGCAAAGGGACCTAAGTCTAAGCCGCCCCTGCTTAGCTTCAGACTTCAAACCAACCCCTTCCTTGTTGTCCAAAATTAAAAAAAAAACAAAAACTGTGGGTGCCAGCTCTCTGCCCTGGGTCTGGTAACTATCTGCAAGGCTGTTGTAATGATGTTAATCTATTTTAATGGAAGTGAAATGTGATATCCTGTGGTTTACGATGCACACTGTTTATGGCTGTAGTGCTTGATTCTGGGTTTCTTTCACAGATAAACTTCTGCACTGGAGGGGCCTGTCCTCCCCCCGATCTGCACATGGAGCTCTAATCCCCACGCCTGGGATGAGTGCAGAATATGCCCCGCAGGGTATTTGTAAGTTGAACATTATCTCTTCTACAAATGTACATGTGTATAGAGATGAGAGTTCCTGGAAACTGTCCTTACTTTTTAAGTACTGGAGGGAGTTTCTTCCAACATAGACAGGTACCCACATATGTATTATTTCATTACTCACTTGGCACCAGCTCTCCTATGGTTCATAGTCGCTACAGTGACTTTCCCTTTTCTCATGGGAGACCTGGAGCTGCCTGCAGCTCATCCCTGGCCGCTTCTCCCCTGGCTTTTCATGGCTCCATAGCTGGCAGCTGGTATATCCCTGTGTTCACAGCTCATCTTATTGTGGACATTCACTTCTATGGCATTGTCAGTTCTTTGAATTGATTGTTAGCAGGAGCCAGTACTGTAGGCAGAGTTTACAGTTACTCCAGAGACATGGTAACACATGTTTCTCATGCACTCACATGTGTATCTGAACATGGTATATTTGTAGATAGATACACATGGTTATATGTGTACATATATATATGCATACGGATACACAACACATATAACTTCTGTTTTCATCCTTATTTTAGAGAAAAATGCCCAGAAATGTAGGTATAGAGAGTCCGCTGCTGCCTTCACACGCATGCCTCTACCACCACTAAGGTCTGCATGGGGACTTCTTTATGAAAGTCAGAGTTTTCATGTATAGAAATGTTTTTCTGAAAGATGTTTTAGAAAGCAACTCAGTTTTCTTCTCTGTGTAGAAGTATGTGGTATAAATCACACATGGCCAAAATGTTTGAAGAAAGAATTGGTTCCACCCCAAACAAACAAAAAAAAAAAAAAAAAAAAAAAAAAAGCAGGTTCAAGACAAAGGGAAGTATGGCATCTAATGTTTATTTTCAAGTAAACAACAAAAAATCACTTGACTGTGGGAAGAAAAGAGGGCAGGAGAGAGTATAAGCAAGTATGAGATGCAAAAGCCAGGTTGTCAATGACTTCTTTCCTGGGAGGGTCACTAGCCTTACCCAGCTTCTGGATGGTGCCTGCAAGGCAAGGCATGCACCCTGATTCACTCCTGGGTAATCCCAGGCAACAGAGAGCTACTATAGGATTTCACAAGCCCTTGGGTCCCGAGGGCTGGGTGGTACAGGGGGTGGGGGGTTAAAAGCACTCTCTTCTCCCTGACCCCAGCTAGGCCTGAGCCTGGGTCTAGTCCCATACTATAGCGTTCAGTGTATGGCTTTGCAGATTCCAGTCCCTGCATGCCTGCTGGGTGGAAAACACTCTTTCTTTTGCCTGGGGTGCCTGGAGCCTGCTCTAGGCTATGGGAATAAAGCCACGGGAAGGAGGCTGAGCAGGGCAGTGGAGGGTGGAGTTGAGAGGTCAAAGGCTGATGGCCAAGGACAGTTTTGGCTCCTGTTTTGAGCATAGTGTTCTTGGGGCCTAGGAGCTTGAGGTGATGGTTGGGAAAGCTTGATATGGAAGTCCTTTGTACACTTACCAATGCAGAAGTAATCAGAAGATGGTATGTGTTAATGGGCTGTAGGCTGCAGAAAGCTCTAGGACAAAGCTAGTGTGGTCCTCTTCAGCTGTGTGGCTTTCAAAGCCTTGTGGCCTGTGAAATTGTTAAAGGTAGCTCAAAATTCCCCTACTTGCCTTTGTTGCCAAAGCCTTGGTTGAAGCTGCCATGCATCTTCCTTTCCAAGCCAAGGCAGGAGTGCAATGTGATTAGTTACAAACACACACACACACACACACACATACACACACACACACACACACACACACACACACACACACCACTTAATCACACCTGGTGGTAATGAAAACCTGCATACCGGACCTGATTGCTTACACCCGGCTGTGTATACTTCTACTTTAAACTCAGCCATTCTTTAAAGGTCTGTTGTTAATACTTTACTTTACATATAGGAACCCAAAGGCCCAGGGAGATTTCATGTTGGGCTCCAAGTCACAAGCTAGGAAATGACATTCAAGGGTTCTATCACAGACTTCCTTGCTCTTTCAAACTGTGAGGCCTCAGTCACATGACTTTTCACATTAGTGACACATTTAAAAATGGACACTATTCTCATAAAATGAAATAAAACAAAAGTAAGTAGGTAGGTGGCCTAATGGCTGGGTTTAACACTTTCAGTGCCATGGGTTCTTGTACCGATGAGGGGCAGGGCTCAGTTTATTGCTTTATATCAAAACAGTCCTGGTAAATGCCCAACGAGGCTCTCAGAGTGAGAAGTTGATTTTCATCAGAGCAAATGAAGAATATTATTATATTTTACACATCAATAAATCAATGTAGCCCTAATTTTGCCATGCAGGAAATCAATTCTGGTCTTTCTAAACCATCAAAGATGTTATGAACAAAGTAATTTCACAAATTACGGCGAGTAACACATTTATTGATGACTGCAGTTTAGGAATTTAGAATCTGCGAGCACTGTAATATAATGTGGTGCGCCAGCATGAGCCGAGTGAAATACAGATTATATGGTGAAATTGTAATGCATCGTTTGCTATTAGTGGACTGGTAATAATTACCAGTTTCAGAGCGGCTCTTTCCATGTAATCTTTCGTCTCAATCGTAACAGCCCTTCCCATTGACATTATGATTACACTAGCTGCCCCTCATGATCTAGAATATCTAGTTGATGGGAATACGAAATGCAACAGTGAAAAGTGTATGTTGTGTGCTCGTTATAAGATCAAAGCCGTTTTCTCTGACCTGATGTACGAGGGGAAGGACAGCATCATCACATAGCTGGCTCTGAAAAACAATTATTTTAGGAAGCAAATAAAACGGACCTTCCTTAAGCCTCTTGGGAAAGTAATGGATGAGATTCTTGGTCTCTTGGTGTGGCTTAACGTGCACAGAACTTGGCATTTATAGGGGCCCCATCTCAGCACATTTGAAGCCATCATTGCTAATTATGGGTCCATCCCCAGGCATTAAGAGATTATAGGGGTCAGATATGATTTTAAGGCATTGGAAGTGACGGAAGTGTTAAGGATTTTCCTCAGCTGATAAAGCTCCTTAGTTACCCAGTTCTGATTGTCAGGCTAAATATATGATAATGACCCAGAGTCCTAGGGAGGTAAAGAGAAAGCCATGGAGGGTCACAGTAGTTGCAACCGGATTTTTTCCCCTGCTTATTTAGGACCCAAGTCATTGTTCAACAACAACAAAAAAATTTATGAAAATACTCTCAATGAAGCTTTTTATTTCCCTTTGAAGAGAAGAGGCAGACAAAAATAGGCAGATAATGTGATTCTAATGTCAGCATTTTCTTTCAAAATCTCTCTGCCTTTCTTCCTCCTTCCACATTAGACAAATGTTTGAAACCTAATTTTGGTATCTTACCATCTAATCTTGTTAAAGAGATTTCCCCAGGAGTGGGCTATATTGAGTGAGATTATAAATGCATTGTAAAGTAAATTGCAAGGGCAGGGCAGGAGTCCATTATTTAGACAAGCTCTTGAGCGAGGCTGGCTTGTTTTGGAATATGAGTGTTTGGGACTCCTCAGAAGACCTTGGCAGCTTTTCTTTCCAACTTGCTAAATGGAGGAATCATATAATTGATGAATTCCTCATGCCCACGCCTTAGCTCCCTGGTGAGTTTTGTCCCATTGAAGAAGTTACTTCAGATGCTAGCCATGGGTTTAGGGGGCCTCTTCTCACTTAAGAAGGAAGTGTATTTCTCCTTTATATTTTAAGTACAGTCCTTTTTATTTTTATTTTTTTAATCCCTTGGCCATCAGTTACTTTCACCCTTGTCCCTAGAACACTGTCTCTTCTGCCATTTTTAAGGCTACAATTGTCTGGTTAACTTTTGTTTAGTATATACTCTATATACTCTATGTATGTGTACACATACATAAGCATACATGGGAAAAATACTCAAGTTTAGCTATCAGGAAAAAAAAAATGAATGATTTTTGTGAAGTCAAGCTGGTCCCCTGTTTGCCAAAGTGGCATTTACCACTCTCGGGTTCTTTTCAGTAAGAGAGAAATAATGTGACTTAAGCAGGGCCCCTCTCCAGACAGCTTGGCTACTGGCCAAAGAGTTGACTAGCTGAACTGTATCTTTCTGTTTCTTTCTCAACTGGAGCCGAGTCTCAGCCGAGGGCGCAGGATGTTGTATAATTTGGTTCAAGTTGTTAGCCTCTCAAAATAATGAGGAGGAGGCTAGGGTAGCATTGCTCAGCCTGCCGCCTGTCACAGTGCTGGCTGCCTTTAGTGCTCCTACAACCAGGGTGCTGAGTCTGCTGAAGTTGGCACCAGCCACTTCTAACTTCTCTGCTCTCTTTTGCTGCACTGGGACAAACTCCTGAGGATTCAATACAGCTTTCTAGTTAAATCAGAATTAAAGTTTCCTTTTGAAATTTCAATCACAGCATCCCCTTGAGATTCAACATGGGTGTCATTAGAGGATGGTGTGGAACTTACACCCAGGCTGGAGTAAGAGTGATGTTACTCTCTTCTTCCAAAGCCTTTCTAGGGTCTCTTGTCACTTTAACAATACCAACAACCCCCATGTTTCCTACTAAGGGGTGTAGGACTAGAGAATTTGTATTGATTGTATCCCCCCCCTTTTTTATATCTATATGCAGTGCTATCTGTAGTGAGAAAGATGGGTTCATCTACAACCCACAGGCAAATGGACCAGGACCATTGGGAGTTAAGTTTCCTTGGGTGAAGTCTAGCTTGTCCCAGTACCCCATTTAACCAGTGGGACAGCGGCACAGAGATGAATGACTTGTGTATGCCACAGCAAATAGGGTGGGGGGAATTAGGAAGACATTTGCTGAAGCCCCTAGGATGTAGTGCTTCTTTATCAGAGCCTGCATTGGCAGGAACTTTATGTTATGGGGCTTGAATATGGAATTCTTAGAAAACAGTTATGTTGAGCAGACCAATTTGACAAATATTTGTTGGGTACCAAATGGCTGAAGGCCTAGCTCAACTTAGGGGTGGGGCCAGGAGAGGCGGGATGTTGGAACATGAATAAGCAATTGCTGATGCCTGCCTGGGTGATTAAACATTGATGTTGGTGTTGTATTATTTTGCAGGTAAAGATGAGCCCAGCAGCTACACATGTACAACTTGCAAACAGCCATTCACCAGTGCATGGTTTCTCTTGCAACACGCACAGAACACTCATGGATTAAGGATCTACTTAGAAAGCGAACATGGAAGTCCCCTGACCCCGCGGGTTGGTATCCCTTCGGGACTAGGTGCAGAATGTCCTTCCCAGCCACCTCTCCATGGGATTCATATTGCAGACAATAACCCCTTTAACCTGCTAAGAATACCAGGATCAGTATCGAGAGAGGCTTCCGGCCTGGCAGAAGGGCGCTTTCCACCCACTCCCCCCCTGTTTAGTCCACCACCGAGACATCACTTGGACCCCCACCGCATAGAGCGCCTGGGGGCGGAAGAGATGGCCCTGGCCACCCATCACCCGAGTGCCTTTGACAGGGTACTGCGGTTGAATCCAATGGCTATGGAACCTCCCGCCATGGATTTCTCTAGGAGACTTAGAGAGCTGGCAGGGAACACGTCTAGTCCACCGCTGTCCCCAGGCCGGCCCAGCCCTATGCAAAGGTTACTGCAACCATTCCAGCCAGGTAGCAAGCCACCCTTCCTGGCAACGCCCCCCCTCCCTCCTCTGCAATCCGCCCCTCCTCCCTCCCAGCCCCCGGTCAAGTCCAAGTCATGCGAGTTCTGCGGCAAGACGTTCAAATTTCAGAGCAACCTGGTGGTGCATCGGCGCAGCCACACTGGTGAGAAGCCCTACAAGTGCAACCTGTGCGATCACGCGTGCACACAGGCCAGCAAGCTCAAGCGCCACATGAAGACACACATGCACAAATCGTCCCCCATGACGGTCAAGTCTGACGACGGCCTTTCCACTGCCAGCTCCCCGGAACCTGGCACCAGCGACCTGGTGGGCAGCGCCAGCAGTGCGCTCAAGTCAGTGGTGGCCAAGTTCAAGAGTGAGAACGACCCCAACCTGATCCCAGAGAATGGGGATGAGGAGGAAGAGGAGGACGATGAGGAAGAAGAGGAAGAGGAGGAAGAGGAGGAGGAGGAGCTGACGGAGAGCGAAAGGGTGGACTACGGCTTCGGGCTGAGCTTGGAGGCTGCGCGCCACCATGAGAACAGCTCTCGGGGTGCGGTGGTGGGCGTGGGCGACGAGGGTCGCGCCCTGCCCGACGTCATGCAGGGCATGGTGCTCAGCTCCATGCAGCACTTCAGCGAGGCCTTCCACCAGGTCCTGGGCGAGAAGCATAAGCGTGGCCACCTGGCCGAGGCCGAGGGCCACAGGGACACTTGCGATGAAGACTCAGTGGCCGGCGAGTCGGACCGCATAGACGATGGCACTGTTAACGGCCGGGGCTGCTCCCCCGGCGAATCGGCTTCGGGGGGTCTGTCCAAAAAGCTGCTGCTGGGTAGCCCCAGCTCGCTGAGCCCCTTCTCCAAGCGCATCAAGCTGGAGAAGGAGTTTGACCTGCCCCCAGCCGCAATGCCCAACACTGAGAACGTGTACTCGCAGTGGCTCGCAGGCTATGCGGCCTCCAGGCAGCTCAAAGATCCCTTCCTTAGCTTCGGAGACTCCAGACAATCGCCTTTTGCCTCCTCATCAGAGCACTCCTCGGAGAACGGGAGCTTGCGCTTCTCCACACCGCCCGGGGAGCTGGACGGAGGGATCTCGGGGCGCAGCGGCACAGGAAGTGGAGGGAGCACGCCCCATATTAGTGGTCCGGGCCCGGGCAGGCCCAGCTCAAAAGAGGGCAGACGCAGCGACACTTGTGAGTACTGTGGGAAAGTCTTCAAGAACTGTAGCAATCTCACTGTCCACAGGAGAAGCCACACGGGCGAAAGGCCTTATAAATGCGAGCTGTGCAACTATGCCTGTGCCCAGAGTAGCAAGCTCACCAGGCACATGAAAACGCATGGCCAGGTGGGGAAGGACGTTTACAAATGTGAAATTTGTAAGATGCCTTTTAGCGTGTACAGTACCCTGGAGAAACACATGAAAAAATGGCACAGTGATCGAGTGTTGAATAATGATATAAAAACTGAATAGAGGTATATTAATACCCTCCCTCACTCCCACCCGATGCCCTCTTTTTTCACCTCTTCCCACTGTCCTCCAGCCCTACTCCCTGTAGGATTTTTTTCTAGTCCCATGTGATTAAACAAACAAACAGACAAACAAACAGAAGTAATGGAAGCTATGAATGAGAGTGCTCGTCACCAGCACACCTGTTTCTGTTTTTTGGGTTTTTTTTTTTTTTCCTTTTTTTTTTTTTTTTTTTTTTCTTCCTTTCTTCCTTTTTTGTTTTAAATTTCTTTATGTTTCTCACCGTTTGAATGCATGATCTGTTTGGGGCAATACTCTTGCATTTTACGCAAACTTTGAGCCTTTCTCTTGTGCAATAATTTACATGTTGTGTATTTTTTTTTTCTTTTTTAAATTAGACAGCATGTATGGTATGTTATGGCTATTTTAAATTGTCCCTAATTCATTATGAGCAAACATGTTGCTGTTTCCAGTTCCGTTCTGAAAGAGTGAGAGAGAGGGGAAAAAGAAACCGTGCTGCACACTTCTGTAATGCATATCATGTACAGCTTTATTTTATAACACGAGGGGGGAAAACAGTGTTTGGGTTCACAAACCCTCTACAGACAGAACAGATAGCACTGGGGAAAAAGTGTGTGCTAAATGCCTGTCTCTAAAGGGTTACATGTATTAATTGGAGAGGGAAAAAAGGCCCTGAATTGACAAATTGACAGAAAAACGAGTTTTATTCTATCATTTGGTTTTAAAATATGAGTGCCTTGGATCTATTAAAACCATGTTGATGGTTCTTTCTGCTTGTTATAAACTTGTAGCTTAATTCTGCATTGGGTGAGGCAATAAACTTTAGGACCTAGCTTGTAGTTCTATGTTGTATTTCTCACAACAATGGCTACCTAAAATATGACCCATTATGTCCTAGTTAATCATCATTTTGTCCCTTGACTTTAACTTTGTGAACAAAACTGATTATACCAGTATAAAAGCTTCTTTGCTCCTGATGAGAGCTTAAAAGAAATGGGCTGTTTTGCCTAAAGTTTTGTTTTATTCTTTCTAAATGATGATTGACGTGAATGTGAGATGGTGCAAAGGCCCTGGAACATAGTGAAGGACATCCATCAGTGAGGAGTTGTTTAAAGTAACACATTCAGTGCCGTTCTGGCACCGAACGAGATAGATACAGACCTACATGGTTGTCAAATGGACAATCGAATGATAAACTTAAGATCTTTTGGTTATATTTAAGAGACCAGCTTGATATAGTTTGACAGAAGGAGACAGAAAAAGTGATTTATCAGCACAATGTGGTACTGTTTGCCATTTTAAACTAGAACAGGTATGTAAGCTAATAGTGATGCAATGATGATTAACTATGAGTTGTTAAGACTTAAATTTGATGTGACATTCTTGAGAAGAGAAAGAATTCTAAGAGCAGCAATGTATGTGTCTGTGCTCCCTGAAAGTTGTGTTCCATTTCCTCTCCATACACTGTGTGCTATTTGTGCTAACATGGATGAGGGTTCATTGTTTTTATATTATGTTACTATTTTTTCTTTCTGTTTCTTTTTTCTTTTCCTTTTTTTTTTATTTTAATTAAGCTAGCATCTGCCCCAGTTGGTGTTCAAATGGCACTTGACTCTGCCTGTGATACCTGTATCTTTTCTCTAATCAGAGATACAGAGGTTGAGTATAAAATAAACCTACTCAGATAGGACAATTAAGTGCACTGTACAGTTTTCCCAGTTTACAGGTCTTTATTAAGGGAAAAGTTACAAGAATGCTGAAAAAATTGAACACAATCTCATTGATGAGCATTAAAAAAAAACTTTAAAAAAAAAAGACAAAAAACTTTGCCAGCCATTTACTTGACTAATGAGCTTACTTACTTGGACATTGCAAGCGCTGTGAATGGAAAAAGAACACACTTAACATAGAAATGAATGATGCTTTCGCTTCTACAGTGCAAGGATTTTTTTGTACAAAACTTTTTTTAAGTATAAATGTTAAGAAAAAAGTTTTTAAAAAGACACTTCATTATGTTTAGGGGGGGACAGCATTTTAGGGTTCCATTGTCTTGGTGGTGTTACAAGACCTGTTATCCATTTAAAAATGGTAGTGGAAAATCTATGCCTTGGATCACACACCGCTCTTCAGGTTGTAAAAAACATACATGGGGAAAGGTTTAAGATTATATAGTACTTAAATATAGGAAAATGCACACTCATGTTGATTCCTATGCTAAAACACATTTATGGTCTTTTTTTTCTGTATTTCTAGAATGGTATTTGAATTAAATGTTCATCTAGTGTTAGGCACTTATAGTATTTATATTGAAGCTTGTATTTTTAACTGTTGCTTGTTCTCTTAAAAGGTATCAATGTACCTTTTTGGTAGTAGAAAAAAAAAAAGACAGGCTGCCACAGTATATTTTTTTAATTTGGCAGGATAATATAGTGCAAATTATTTGTATGCTTCAAAAAAGGAGAGAGAGAGAGAGAAAGAGAGAGAGAGAGAAACAAAATGTGACATTGTACAGAGAAGCCATATAATGGCGGTTTGGGGAGCCTGCTAGAATGTCACACGAATGGCTGTCATGGGGTTGTACATATCCTTTTTGTCCCTTTTTCCTGCTGCCATGCTGTACGCAGTGCTGCAAGCTAATAGCGTTGGTTTGTTATGTAGTGTGCTTTTGTCCCTCTCCTCCCCCACCCTCCATTCCAGCATCTTACCTTCATATGCAGTAAAAGAAAGAAAGAAAAAAAAAAAAAAGGAAAAAAAAAAAACAACAACAACAATGTTTTGCAGTTTTTTTTCATTGCCAAAAACTAAATGGTGCTTTATATTTAGATTGGAAAGAATTTCATATGCAAAGCATATTAAAGAGAAAGCCCGCTTTAGTCAAGACTTTTTTGTAAATGGCAATGCAGAATATTTTGTTATTGGCCTTTTCTATTCCTGTGATGAAAGCTGTTTGTCGTAACTTGAAATTTTATCTTTTACTATGGGAGTCACTATTTATTATTGCTTATATGCCCTGTTCAAAACAGAGGCTCTTAATTTGATCTTTTATTTTTCTCTGTTTTTATTTTTTTTTTATTTGGATGACCAAAGGTCATTACAACCTGGCTTTTTATTGTATTTGTTTCTGGTCTTTGTTAAGTTCTATTGGAAAAACCACTGTCTGTGTTTTTTTGGCAGTTGTCTGCATTAACCTGTTCATACACCCATTTTGTCCCTTTATTGAAAAAAATAAAAAAATTAAAGTACAATGTAAGCTTCTTGTGTCCTCATTTGACACACTCTGTAAATAACTTCCAACAAAGTAGCAGGTTTTGAGAGAAGGCCAGCCTGTCTTTTTCAGGATTATTTCTGTGGACATTTTGATGTGTGTATTATACCCTAAAGGAGCATAATGTGCTTACTATATTAATAGACATACCTCAAGCCATGGAAATAGGTTTAGGCATCACAGTTTTAGGTAATTGGAAAGTGATTTCTGTGTACTGTTCAAAACCTCTGCTCTATCCTTAGCAGAATGCACTAGGTACAATGAGCCTGGGAACAGCTCCTCAGTTACTTTCTTGGGATTTTCTGCTGTGATCGTATGTCTAAAAGTCCTGTTCTCCCGTTAGTTATTTCCCTGTCTTAGAGTATGATGCCAAAAAAGGGGTCCTTAAACAAATAGCTCCCTACTTCCACATAATGACCTCTCCTCGTAATAAAAATGACCCTTCCCCTCAGCGCTAAAAATCCAGAAACAAAGGCACCAAATATATTAAATCTGTTAAATAATAATAAGACGAGGGAAGAAAAAAAAAAGTAGGAAGACAAAGCAGAAATCAGCAACCAAAGGTGGCTAGACCAAGCCAGGTCTCTGGAAGCCACTATTGGGGTCCTAAGATGCATCATGGTTTACCTTGTGATTCTGAAATCCTATGGTCTGTACTTGCCACAGGTTGTTTTATATATATTATATATCCATATATAATGTATATAACATATATATTATATATATATTAGGTTCTACCTTGCTGGTGGCAAATAAGGGTAGATAACCCTGCAATTCATTATCTTTTCATATTTTGCGATAGCTCGAAAGGCAGGTTAGGTCTGTTTTAAAAACCCTTTCAGAAATCTGTGTTGTCGGTTTTCCAACTACTGCATGTTGCAGCATCGATTTGCTTTATTCTATAGCACGTGCCTCTGTGGTACTGTCTCCCTGTTCCAAGTGTAGATGAATGGATCCAACAGTGTTCTTATTTTTGTAAAATCCCACACAAAAGCTGTTCTGTTGTCTTCACGTGGTAGCATTTTTGTTGCATAGTTCTTCCCTCCTGGAGACTATGAAGTTGCCTTTCCATGTAATGCCTTTTATGCGAGGCCAGAAGTTTTCTCTTTTTAAGTAGAGAGAAAGTAAGGTATTTGGTTTTTAGTTTTATTTTTTAAAGCCAGTTTGAGTGGGGAAGGGGACTGAACTGAGAGACATTTGGAGGATTATAGCACAGGTCCTGAGATGGGATGGGGGTCAAGCACCTTGGAGAAGTTGATGTTTGTCGGTAAACTGAGGAAAGGTATTTGTGTTTTCTGGGTACCAAACTGATTCCAGAACAAATAGAAATATTCTCCTGTGTTTTGTCAGCTGTAGATTATGGTGACTTTTGCTTCACCATATTAAATATCCATCAGTTTCTGTGTGTCCCTATTGTGCTTTCCAGGGGAACTCAGAGTGCAGCTGTGTAGATTTTATATATGGTACTTATTTTAATTCCCCCATATACTATGCTCTTAGTGTAATTAGGTTTTGCATCCTGACAGACAAAATTAATGGTGGATGCAGGATCCTTATAGGTTGAGATATCTTAAATCAAATTGGGAATGGGAGGGGTGCAAATATCTGGTGATAAATCACAGATTACGTTTGATTTACATGTTCCCAAAGTTAAATAAATTTCTTGGGAGACAGCTTCTTCAGGTTATTTCCTCTTGTGACATCTTACAACCCTCTGATAAAATGTTGTTTCTGAAGCTCTATGAGTAATGGAGACATGAACACTTAGACACCAAGAATAGAACTTCTGAGTGACATTTTCTATCCTGAACCCAAACATTTTAAATTGTACTAGAAAGGAATCTAAAAAACAAATAGTCCCACCACATAACGTGAATTACTGATAGATTTTTAAATGAAGAAGTACTGAGACTGTTCGTTATCCCTGAAAATCCACAGTTGAGTTTTTGTAAGTTTTGACATACCAAATGTCCTTTGTGTACGTGAACTCTGATGCTTAGGATGTCCCAAAGGGAATAAACAAAACAAAAAGCCCTCTCCATATGATAAAAACTTAAAAAGCAGGAATACAGAGAATGCCATTATTGCAAAGTTTAGCCCCTAAATATTTCCAGTGTGACTGTACCCTTCCTGGGATCATTTGCTGTCCTCTCATTGGGTCTTCAGAAAGACTAAATCTAACACATTTTAAAGGTTACTAAGAAGTGGGGTGAACATGCTGCTTCTTGTGTACCAGCCGTGGCAGGAAGTGTGAAGTAGTTGAAACCGTCCCCCCCTCCAGGGTATTCTGTGGATAGAACTGTTTATTTAAATACCAGTTTTGTATATGCAATAAGTCCATATTGTACATCTTCATAGTGGCTGAAGTGAGAACTCAAAAGCAAGCGACAGAGGGAGGGTGGACTAGATAGTGTTTAAACTGGAAAAATAAGGGAACAAGGTGGTTTGTTCAGACACTGGGAGTTGGCTGAAAGACACCAGGGTTATTCGGGACCATCCCACAAAGAAATTGAAAAGCCCCTGGGCTTTTTACTCTGGGAGTTAGGGAGGAAATACTGTTTCCTGGTTTTATACTCCCTTCCACACATACAAGCATGGTTCTTCACTATAGTGTGGTCACTCATTGCCCCCTAGCCTAGTGTGTTTAAGAACTGGGCTGAGAATGACAGAGCTCTTTCAACCGATTTGGGAAATTAGCTTTTGAGAGAGTGAACACTGACTTTGGAAAAGCATGATCTCTACTTAGCAAATCTTCCCAAGCCTTCCCAGAGCTTTTTCTTTCTTTCTTTTCCTTTTTATTTCTTTTTCTTTCTTTCTTTCTTCCTTCCTTTTTTTCTTTCTTTATTTCTTTTCTTTTCTTTTTTTTGTTCTGTTTTGTTCTGTTTTTGTTTTTAGAAATGGACACTAGAATACAGGCTGTGCTCCAGGGCTTCCTACCCCTACAGAGTGTAGACGTGGATGGTTGGCCATTCACATTTGCTTTCTTGCATCTCATTACCCTGTTAGCTCACTGTTTCATTCACAACAGCACATGGCCAGGGAGTCAGTCTTTGGGGAAGGAGTCTGGCCTGTTTCTAATTCTCTGTATCATCTGTCATGGGAACCGTGGATACCTCCCTCCCTCCCAAATGGGAAAAGGAGCCAATGCAGTTCACAAGGGTCATTGTACTTAAGTAACCAAACTTGCCTGAACACAACTCAATGATTGATCCAAATAATGTTTTTCTTTTCTGTCACACTGCAAAAACTGTAAGGAAGGCACATGAATCGACCAGATTTTTCATCGAGACGATGAAAGAAAGCAAGTCAAACAGTTTCTCCTAAGCAGGAGACCCCAGGTCTCTAGAGGAATATGGTACATGCCTATGATGTACTCCGTTTATTAAGGCTTTAAATATAGGTAGTGGGTCAGACAAAGGGGTTTGGAGGGGCATCTGCTAAAAAGGCTTCAAGGCAATGCTAGCATTGGGCCAGGCATGGGGTTCCCCAGAGTCCACCTGGTCACAGCAGGGCCTTCAGTCCAGGTCTCCCCGGCTCAGGGAGGGGATGTGGGGCACAGCTGAGCTCCAGACCACAGGCCTCCTGCCTCATGGAGTCAGGGGAGAGGAGGCCCCAGGCCCCTGCTTCAGGTCGCCATGGTAACAAGGCCTGGAGTGCGGCGATGCTAACCTTCCTCCCTAGCACATCTGGACTCTCAGTGTTGCTTCAAGGCAATGCCCACAGAAAGGGGGAGCTTGGAGGGACATCATACTCCCCTTCCTTCACCATTGCCTTTCCTGTGACACAAAACCAAACCAAACAAGTAAACAAAAACCCTTCATGTCTGAAAGAAACTACAGTCAGTTTGGGTGCAAGTTGAGGGCAACTTCTTGGGAGTTGTGGTTCTGTCCGAAGATTTGTTCACCTCTTGTAATCGTTGACTGCTTTGACATTGAACTTGATGACATTTCATGTTTTTGTTTAGCTGCTTTTGCATCAGTTTTGTTTTTGTTTCTTTATAATTTTATTATCATTTTAAGAAATTGTGTCCCTTCCCTCCCCCCTCTCCCACTATCCTTGACCAAAGGACTGTTTGCTGCCAAGTTTTGTCAGTCTTAAGGAAGAGTGTTTCCTCCCAGGTGTGTCCCAAGTCCAGTAGGCCTTCGGCATGACGGGATAGGGAGTCTGGGCCCTGCGGGTGATGAGGTGGGGGGGGGATGGGAAAGGACCCAAGGTGGACATATCCAGGGAGGGAGATTATATTAGAGATCGTGCCAGTGGCTCAACCTGTGGTTGATTTAAGTCATAATTTTAAAGTTCTAGCGAGAGAACAGACAATCACCAGGCCAAGTCACACCTGTACTTTTTCCTTCCTCTGTCTCCAACCTCTTTGCAGGTTCTTCACACACCCCCATTCGGCGTAGTGCCCAGAGAGCTCAAGATGTGTGGCAGTTTTCGGATGGAAGCTCAAGAGCCCTTAAGTTCTGAGAAACTTTGAAGCCCCCAGGGGCGGGGTGGACATGCGTCGCCCAGCCGATGTCAGCGTGGCCCGTCATCCTGCTAGTTTGTGATGTTCTCTGACAGTAACCCTCCAAGAAGCTGTTGTGCGAAGACAAGAGTCCTGCCGAGTCCTTCCAGCCCAGGCCTGCAGTGCCGTTTTATTTATATTTTTTAATAAAAAGTAAAAACAAAAAAACAGACCCACATTGGAACAGTGAACCCGTCCCATTTAGAGGGCCCTCGGACTGTCGCTATCATAGCGATGCCCGACCCTTTTGAAGCCAGCCAACCTAACTACCCGTATTGTGGAAATGAGCATGAGCCCCGAACCCCTCGTTTCTATACATTCTATGTTGTCTTTTAAAAAGTGTGCTTAACATTGACATAATAAATGTTGGAGCTTTAGGCGGTGTGTGTGTGTGTTCTTTAATTTTTAATGCTCATAAGACAATGTGGCTGCTTTGACCGTTGTGTTTGTGTACCTGTTTCCTGCAGAAGCCCCTGGGGTGGTCAGGGGTACCAGATTAAAGGGATGGACAGGAGAGTAGAAAAGGAAATAGGCTTCTTGCTTATCAGATGGCATACATTTTCAAAGAGAAAATGCAAAACTAGGGAATAAATCATAGCAATATCATAATTAATGTAGAAGTATTGCTGTTTATTAATGCTGATGTGTGTTTTCCCTGCCTGACTTATAATTTGCATACCATTAAATAATGCATAAATATGGCACACTGAATCTTCTTTTTCAAATATATGCTTTTGGTGACTACATGTAAGAGCTGAATTTGTCTGTTAATTTAGTTCAAGAAAGATGACATCACTGGATGGGTGGTAAATGTCAGTAGTTGCTTATGAAATATTCTGATGTTAGGATCCCAAACTTCCAGTGAATAGGTCTGAATGCAGACAAACATGAAACTGCCTAATATTTACATCAAATGATTTTAACAAAGGGAAAGTGTTGCTAGAGGAAAGAGGTAGCCAACAGAACAGGCCACTGCAGCCATGAGTGCCTTAACATCTGTAATGAGCTCTATGACAGGCGCTGAATCTGCTGAGAACTTTTCCCAGTTTGGTATTTTTCAGTCCACAGATCCAGAAGACAATTAGAAACAGTATGGTGTATTAAAATGTGCTCATAAATAATAGATCTCAGACACCTGTGCATTACAGGTTTATAGATTGGCTGTGAACCTAAGTGGGGAAAATCTTCCCCGTTCACCCTCTGGCTAGATTACCTAACCTAGTGAGAAGATAGCAAAATAATTGGCACCTGGATTCCTTTGTGCTTATTCATCATAAATAATAGTGCTCTAGTTTATATTTGTATTGTACTTTCATGTCCAATGTTGTATCTGCTCCTCACTGGGATGCATCCCACAGCTTCCAGTGTAGAGGAGACCAGGGCTCTGCCTGGTTAAAGCTTGCTAAGCCCATGTTGATTTGTGAACCAGAGTTGATGCTACTGAGTTCTGTTCAGTTATAGTCAAAGGCAATGCCCCTCCCTAAATGCTTCTGCTGTTAGCACACAGGCTACCCAGGCTCCCAAATGCACATGTGTGCTTCCACATACAGAGAGACCAAGGATGTCCATGGATGGAGCAAGGGCTCCTTCCTCCTTGTCGTCTCTCTGTGGCCCTTCCATGACAAATAAATAACTTTGATTGCACACACTTCCTTTATGGGTTTTTGAGTGTTCAGAATAGGACTTCCAAACAAAAAGTTATTTCCAAGAGAAACCTTTCTCCGGTCCCACACTTTCATTCTGACTTGTTCAACTCTGAGCTCTAAGCCCACAAAGCAAGCATCTGGTGAACAGTATCAACTAGCTGTGCTAGCTCTTTGCTGATAAAAAAGAGTGGTACCACCTCTCCTGGGAGAGACAATTGTGTGGTCTGGCTCAACTGCAGCCTTGAGAGCTGTCCTGGACATCCTCCACACCTTCATATCTAGTCTGTTTTCATATCCACCTCTTATTTCTTCTTAGACTCTGTGGCTAAATGAACAGGTAGCTTTAAGTTGTTTTGTTGGATGGGAGTGAACCGAAGTGCCTTGAGAAGAAAGACCCTTCACTAAAAATAACCCAAAAACCTCCATATCTTCACTCATAACCTTTTTCAGTTGCAAGAAAATGAAAATTCATACTTAGGGTTCATTACCAAAGGGTGTTATCCTGGAGGTAGAAGTTTTGAAACCTCATAGAAGATTGATGATTTGGGAAGGCATCTCGCTGGGTGATATGTCAAGGTCATGGGTATTTGAGTTGGGTGGAAGCTGGAGGAAATTGATAATCTGACTGGGGCCCTCACTGTGCCCTCTCTGGAGAAAGGAATTTCAAATTGCAGACATTAATTGGCTGACCAGCATGCACTTCTCACACATTAGAGGACCAATTGTTGGCTGCTTGGATGGTGAGGACCAAATACATAGGCCTTACTCTTACTCTCTTCTGGTCTCTGCGTATTAGTTATGTCGTCTGTCCAACTGTCACATGTACAAAAGTCTGTAGAACTTTGGGACCTGTAATAGCAGAGAGCCACTTTGGAGTTCTTATGGGACCAGCTTGCTAAATATCAGCAATGCCTGAAAAATAAGTACTAAAATCCAGTGATGGTTGGGTGAAAGATCTTGATAAAGAAGAGCAAATTTGGCCTCTACTGAGGCTGTGCCGAGTGCCCAGACCTTGGCAGAATAGGCACAGTCACTTAGGCTTGGTACTTTTAGAAGCCTCTGTACTACAGCATGGTCCTTCCGATGCTGAGAGATAACTTTCAGGTTTTATATTTTATTTATTTATTTGCCATTAGAGAGTAGCATTGATCTGAAGAAGCTGATTGTTAAGTTACTTACTACAACAGGTTTTTAAACCTCAGTGCTAATATTCCTGAAATAATTTCCTCTTCCAAATCAGTGCCCCAACTGTAATGATAGAGAGGGATCAGATTAGAAATCAAGTGCTGTGTAGGCTGTCATTTCTCTTGCAGTAGCACAGATAGGGTTGTCTCCTTCTTGGATCTAGTGTGAGGGCACTAGATTCTTTGCCTAGTGGAAACTCAGTTCAAAACACACCTACCCTCTTCAAGAATTCACTCTGTCCAAGAGAAACAGCCTCACACTTCTTCCCGCTGAGTCTGCAGTGGGGACACTATTGTGAAGCTTGCTCTGATCTGGCTTCACATCAAACCAAAGGAATCATTTCCAACAAATCCCGGAAGCAGAGATTAGACCCCTGAATCAAAAAGCTCCTCGAATCTAACCACATTGCTTTTCCCATGTTACTTTTTGCCCCTTCTACAAGAGGCCTATGGGACATGTTCACGTACATGACAGCCAGTTTTCCTCCTGGCTGTATAAATTCAGTAGAAAGAGAAGAGACTAGAGCTGAAAGGAACCATAACAGTTATTCATTTTACAGACTGGACAAGAGGCCTGAAGGCAAAGGAAGAACTTGGGATCACATGGTGTACAGGAATGTCATTGCCAAGCTGGAAAAAAAACATGGTGCCTTAACAGCTGGCCTGGAACTGGAATCAAAGTATTCCAGCTCTTGAGCAAAAGGATTCAAATGACAGATCTTATCCTGTTGACCTGCTGAATATAGAAGCCTGGGCCACAGAAAAAATCGTGCACCTCAGAGGGAATGAAGAAAACAAACAAACAAACAAACAACAACAAAAAAGGCTTGTTTGGACATGCCAGCCCTAGTAGGGAGGATTACTATGTGGTGTCTGTAATTGCCACTTCCTGGAAGGAGTCTTGAATCCGCACCTCCACTGGTAGAAATAAATGTATTGACCAAGAATTGATGAGAGATGGCTTTTAAAATTAAAAGGGCATTAAAAAAAAAAAAAAGAGCCACTCATCACACCAAATTCATTGCAAATGACTTAAATAGATTTCACAATCTGTTCCATTCTTTAGGCAGGATTTAAGAGAAGCACCCACTTAATTTGAATTTCAAGGCTGCATCACATCCTGCTAGGAACCAAAGAGCCAATGGGCGTGCCTTGAATCTTGTTACTGGAGGTGCAGAATCTGGAGCCCAGAGCAGTGAAGTAGGATGGCTGGCTGACAGGGTGGGCTCATGTGACGACCACAGCACATTTCTGCGGTCTGTCCTTTCAGGAGGAAGCCTTCGTCTTCTCTTTGGATCAGGCCCCTACTCTGTCTGGAGGTGTGCATGGTCAGCCTTGCCCTTACTTTCACCTCTCCTGTCTCTTCTTGCCTTGTGGAGGACACAGGTGGATTCTGTATGTCTAAGGGCCTGATGGGACTGCACTCATCTGCAGCATCTGCAAAAGCAAAGTTCACTCTGAGATAGAAAGGGGCTGGGTTGGACCCTCCTCTTGGTTGAGGGCAGTCTGAGGGGAAGGGTTTACTTGCCTCTCTCCCACCCTGAGTTAATGGCTCCATGACTTACCCTCCTGGTAATGCGAGCAGGCAGCCCCTTCTGCCCAATCTGACCTCTGTCTTCTCCCCTCAGAGAGCCAGCTGAGCAGCATGTGGGGATCATTGCCCTTCCTTTGCGCTCTAGGAGTTGCAATGGTTCCCTGTTTCACAGTGACTAGTTCTGCCCATTGATTGCTTCCCCATACAATGTAAATACAGCTCCTCGGAAACCCACCCAAAGTTCAGAACTCAGGGACAGAAGCACTTTCCCCTCAGAGCCATCCCGCACTGTGGACTGGTCTGTAGCTCCCTCTCTTCTTGCTTTTCCGACTCTCTAGGGGTCTTCTTTCCTCTCTGACACTGATGTTCCAGGACAGCCTCCTGCACTTTTCTACACAGATGGGCGAGTTGCTTTGTGAGCCTGCGGCTCAGGTGCTGTTCCTTCCTTGACGCCATTCCAGGCCTGTTCCACCTTCTTAGCCCCCATGCTTGGGCAGCACGTGACAGTGTGACAGTCACAACTGTAGGGAATATCCCACACTCTTAGACTCTGTAATAGATTTAGAGGACTAGAATCCAGTATTCATGGTTGTCAGGAAGTGTCCCAGGGGAGTGGACTGTGCTTTTGGCCTGGCAAATCCATATTCTTCCTAAGTTTATGTTTCAGGAAGTAAAACAACAGTGATTTTGGCTTGGAAATTTAAGCTGTCACTGTGAGGCCTGGATCATTTTATCTGTGCCCTAAGGATAGAGGTCTCTCTGGCCTGCACGCTGCAAGATTAGAGAAAGCAAATCTCCATACTCCTGCTGCCTGCAGATCAAGAAACTGGATATGTCCCACCGGCTGTCTTTGATGAAGAACCTAACCTTTCTCATCCTTAGCTAGTGAACTGCCTGCCTGGAGTGTAGAGTAGAGGAAAATACAGGTTAAAATGGAAATGATATTAGCTAATATTTATTGAGGTTTTCCTACATTTTGGGTCAAGGAAGGGATCCTTGTAACTAGTTTGCTT